ATGGTTTTAAAAAATTAAATAAAACCGCTTTTATTCTAGCTGAAATAAAACAAATCAGTCTTTCTCCAGAAGAAACAATATTATCGGAAATACTGTGAAAAATTCCTTGCTCTGGTAAACATCATTTGGGAAATATTTGAAAAAGAAACAAAAAGGGTAAGAGGGCTACAACAGTAACCAAGATGTTTTTCCTTCTTTTGAACCCAAAAGAAGATATTTTGAGAATATTATGTTGAAAACGAGTACCCATTCACTTCCATAGTATTTGGATTCCGTACTATGCATGTCAACGGCTGCCAATTTACAAACTCTTCACGATATCTTCTTCTTTGTTTACCAGACAAAAGAGAAACACACAACGGTTTAGAACCACTTGAAGTTCAAGTTGTCATGTTGTGGGTGAACATTAGTATTAAGAAAATTGACCTCCCTGAAATAGACAGCACATTTCACACACTTTACTGGGGACTGTCAACATTAGTTTGACAAACATTGGCCAGGCCTGTTATTTAAGTATACCACAGTAAATGCCGAACATGACTGTATGAAGATATCACTACAAGCCACAGAATGCAATGCATCACTGCTGCATTCATAGTGTATTACTGTCCTCTTTTATGGTTGGATAGAGTGAATGAACAGAGCCCAATAAGCACAAACTACAATTTCCCGCCTTTCCTCACCATCATCATAAACTGCCTCTTGTTTAACTGGGACTCTGGGAGTTATAAAACTGAGAACTATAGACGAAAACCTTTGGGGCGACCCGTATATTACCTGTAGGGAGCTGGGAGCTGTCAGTTCCAATATCATTTTCTCTGCTAAGCAACATTAAGGGATAAAAGTGAAGCTTTATTGTTGCTATCTGATTAAAGACATCAACAGTCTGAAGTGCTGGTCTGAAGAAGTGTTAACTGATTTTTTATTTTTTTTTATCTAATTTTAAGATTTTACAATTATACTTGATGTGCATTTCCTGAAAGTTTTAGTTTTCTCTTAAGGCTGGTTTCTTTTTTAAATGCAAGAATCTCAATTTTTAAAGACAATTCTGTTTTTAAAAAAATGTATACCATCTACAAGCAGTATGTATATTACACAACTTGAAACTTTTTTAAATGTAATATTTTATTTTATTATTTAACAATAAATGTGTTGTTTTTTATTATTTTATTAACATTATTATTTTTTTAGATCATAGTTTCTTATATCATATTTTTATTTTATTTTGTGGTTTTAGTTTTATATTCCATTTGTAATTTCAACTTAATTTAATCACATCCAAAATAAAGGTGTGTGTTTACATAAAATCTGTCTGCATACTTTATATGTTTATTTTGTAAATACTCATATAAATGCATATATTTGAGAAAATGTTTAATTATATGTGAATATGATATAATATGGATAAGATACAAATTATAAATACATTTAAATATCTATGTAAATATATTTATTTAATCTCTGCTTTAATCTCTTAAATAATTATGTAAACTATACTTTAATCTATAATAATAATAAAATATAATTTACATTATATAAAGTATAATAATAATAATTATTATAACAATGATGATGATTATGATGATGATGGTGATAATAATGATCATTATTATTATTATACTTTATATAATGCAATCTATACCTTATTATATTATTATTATTATTATTATTATTATTATTATTGTTGTTGTTGTTGTAAATGGTATTATTACTATATTACTAATATAGTAGTCATTATTATAGTTATTATAATTTACATTATATAAAGTATAATAATAATAACATCAATAATAATAATAATAATAACTATTATTATTATTATTATTGTTATTATTGTTATTATTATAAAGTGTGGTTTAAATTATATAAAGTATAATAATAATAATAACAATAAATATGATATTAATAATAATTGTGGCAACGCGATGGTGCAGTAGGTAGTGCTGTCGCCTCACAGCAAGAAGATCACTGGTTCGAGCTTTGACTAGGTCAGTTGGCATTTCTGTGTGGAGTTTGCATGTTCTCCTCGTGTGCGTGTGGGTTTTCTCCAGGTGCTCCTGTTTCCCCCACAGTCCAAAGACCTGTGGTACAGGTGAATTGAGTAGGCAAAATTGTCTATAGTGTATGAGTGTGAATGAGTGTGTATGGATGTTTCTCAGAGATGGGTTGCAGCTGGTATTTCATTAAATTTAATCTAAAAATGACATTTACATTTATTTATAAGACTGGCCTGCTTTAGTCTGGAAATGTTCCCACTGTTCATTTCTAGAAATATTCCTAAATGTCACGTCCTATATCGGTCTTAATGGTGGCAGTTTCCTTTTACTCCAGACAGATAGCAGATCTCTGATTTAGAGCTTTTAGGACAGTGTTCGTCCTCAGTTCAGTGACAAAGCCGTTCATTCTGGAGGGTTCACAGTGACCTCATACTGCTGATCTGAAGAAAAGAGAGCATTCATTCTCCCAGCAGAGCCACAAAAGAGGAGATTGAGGAACAGAAGGAGATGCAGAAACAGATGAGAGGATGGATGGATGGAGAGCTTGTCACATTTTGGCCTGAATGCTGATATTAGAGTAAATGCCCAGAAGGGGTTTTTAAGGGAAATACCGGTCAGTGAATACGGTCACAGAATACAGTCAGTCTGGTATTTTTCTCAATACAGTTGAAGTCAATATTATTCACCCTCCTGTGATTTTGTTTTCTTTTTCAAATATTTCCCAAATTATTTTTAACAGAGCAAGGTATTTTTTACTGTTTTTGCTATAATGTTTTTTCTTCAGGAGAAAGTCTTTTCTGTTTTATTTTTCGGCTAGAATAAATGCAGTTTTTAATTTTATTTAAACACTATTTTAAGGTCAATATTATTAGCCCCTTTCTTTTGTCTACAGAACAAACCATTATTACACAATTACTTTTTTTAAATTGCACATATTCATTGCACTACATTGCACTGATTCATTCATCTGAGCTGTACACACCCACTGTACAGAACATTTGTAATTGTCTATCTATCTGCACACTTCTGATTATTAATAGCAACCTGTACATACAGTTGAAGTCAGAATTATTAGCCCCCCCTTTTAATGTATTTTTTTTAATATATTTTCCAAATGATGTTTAACAGAGCAAGAAAATTTTAACAGTATGTCAGATAATATTTTTTCTTCTGGAGAAAGTCTTATTTGTTTTATTTTGGCTGTAATAATAGCAGTTTTTAGATTTTTAAAGCACAATTTTTAGCAAATGTTTACAAATACAAGCGCAGCCGTTTAGAGCTCATTTCTGGTTGATGATGTCAGAATTTACCAGTATTTTGGAATGGATGTGTGAATAGTGTTTTCCGAAAAAATTCTGTAACATCCTCACCTGTGTGAACAGTGATTTTTTTAATTTTACGGTAAAGTCCTTTCGGAAATTTTCCGGATATTTACCAGTATCACTGTGTGAAAGGGGCTGAGGGGCAAGTAATTTATTAAATAAAGAAAAGATTTACGCAGCTTCTCCTACCACAGCAAATTCAGTTTTTACTGTTGATATTTGGTGCAAAATCCGGAAATGTCGATTTTGTTCTCTTTGACTCGTTGGATGGAAACGCTGCTTTATTTCAACCCGGGCTCATTGTGGAAACGTAGCCCCACGGACGTTTCTGCGGACCGCGAAATACGTCCCGGAAAGCCGCTGTGCGAGCTTTTTTTGCGTCCCGAATTCCTCTAGGGAGCGCGCGCCGTTCGCGCCCACGCTGTTCTCGCGCGAAAAGCCGCCGGAGGCCGCTGTGGAGCGACTGTCCGTCCGACTGGCCGGCCGAACGATCGACTGGGCGGCCGCCTTCCTCCTCCTCCTCCTTCCCTAAACCCAAGCGACGGTTTGCAAAAGCCATCCAGAAAAAAAAAGCAAAAGCCCTTGTCTTTGATTTCGACCGCGTTTTCGGATCCCGCCATGTTCTCGCCCTTATTTTTCGGATTCTGTTTTTCATCTTACCTGATTTCCGGAACCGCACTTCCCCGGACCCAATCCAGGTCGTCCCCGCGGCCGGCTCCTTCTCCTCTGGGTCTCCGCTCCGCCGACGTAACGCTGCGAGCTAAGCGGACAAACTGGTAGCAGGAGGCGAGCCGTCGGCCAGCGAGCGCGAAGAGGAGGAGCGAAGCGGCGCCACACCGTCCCGCAGCGTTCACTCGAGAAAAACTAAACGCGGTCGTAAGTACCTCCGGCCACATAAATCGCGGTCTCCAGAAACGTCTGCGGGGCTACGTTTCCAGAATGAGCTTGGGTTGCTCTATTCACACATCTTTTATGCAATATTCCAGTTTTGTGCATTAACTTAATTCACATCTTTGGATGGAAACATAGCTATTGACAGATAAGCATCACACACACACACACACACACACACACACACACACACACACACACACACACACACACACACACACACACACACACACACACACACACACACACACACACTCAAATGAAATGCATGACTAAAACTCCTGACAACAAATGTTTTTATGTTATTTGAACTTAATTTTTTTAGTTATACAAAGTTTACCCTAATTATTTTGAGTCAGTTTGATTGATGTAAGTCGAGATCATTTAAAATGTTCAGTTGATTCAACTAAAAAAATTGAAGGCAGCAAGATTTTTATAGTGCACACACACACACTCTCTCTTTCAAGCTGGGTGTCATTCTGATCAATTAATCAGGGTGTGTTAAAATCTCCACCCCCTTCATTTCAGAGCCGGCCGATAAAAGGATAGAGAAAAGACCCATGCTTCTGTTTGGGTCACATGATCAGATGTTGTGGCGATAGCAGCTGGCCTTTTCCATCTTAACACACACACACTCACTCTCTGCCCTGGCACACACATCAAGCTCTCTCTCTGCATCTCCAGTTCATGTGTGTGTGAGTGTGTGTGTGTGCATGTGTGACAGCTGTCTGCTGCAGGACATTGTCTCACTGTGACTTACTATGTCACTCTGCTGTTGCTTTTTTTACAGGGATTATGGATCCAAACGCAAGTCAGGTAAGACCGTCTTTTATGTTTACCTGCCGGCTGAGTGTTAAACCTGTTGCCGGGTTTAAGTGTTAACTCTGCTCCACTCTGCATGCCCTCTCTGTTATTGCCGCATTGAATGACTTGCTGTTTTGCTCTGGGCTCAGCGGAGAGAAACGCTTTCTTTAGAGAACTGGACGTGACTCAGAGGTTTGTAAAGCTCTGGGAGTGTCAGCTGTGAAAGGTTTCGGAATAACTGGCAGGACTTTGGGGAAAAGCCACATGAAATTATGGGCATTTGTACTTCATGATGCTGTTTCTAATTTGGTTTAAGGCAAGTCGTCCGGCTGAAGATGCAGTTTTATTTAATTTTATTTTATTTTATTTTCAAGTCCAGCTGAAGATGCAGAAAAAAATACTTTCTTTATTGTATTTTTAATATATATATATATATATATATATATATATATATATATATATATATATATATATATATATATATATATATTATTATTTAAAAAAAATTTTATTGAATTTTTTAAATGAATTTAATTTAATCTTTAAATAAAAAAAATCTTTTATTTTTTTATTTAAAACAAATGTATTTTATTTTGATTTAATGTATTTTTAATTTATTTTATTCTTTTATAAACTTTATTTTATTTTATTTTGTAATTAAATGCTATTTTATTTTATTTGTTTTCTGGTATTTATTTTATTTTTAAATACATTTTATTTAATTTAATTTTCAAGTCGTCCAGCTAAAGATGCAAAAATACTATCATTTTTATTTAAAATAATTTTTATTTAATTTAATTTTATTGATTTTTATTTTTTTATTTAAAATAAATGTTATTTTATTTGTTTAAGAAAATATTTTTTTTATTTTGTGTTTCTATTTTTATTTTATTTTTAAATAAATTTTATTTAATTTTTTACTATTATTTTTTATTTAATAATTTATTTTTAAATAAGTTTGTTATTGGATATTATTTTAATGTATACATGCTTACTTTTCAGTGCCCTGCTTAGTATTAGGCACTATTTAATCTAATTTCATTTAACTTTATCTTATCACATTATATTTTGACTCTTTTACCATTTACTGTTTGCGACAGCCAGCCAGACAGACAGACAGACAGACAGACAGACAGACAGACAGACAGACAGACAGACAGACAGACAGACAGACAGACAGACAGACAGACAGACAGACAGATAGATAACAGTAAATGGTACAAGTAACGATTTTAGTAGAGTAAGAAAAAAAGTAAAAAAGCGTTTGTTTATTTATTTATTTTTATACATTTTACACATACTAATACAGAGAGATTTTTCTGCTTGTTAATAAGACATTGAGTCACATTTTCCAGATTTATGACAAGGATTAGACCAAGCTTCCTTTGCATAGCTTGCTTGGGTGTGTGTTTTGTGAGGGAACAGCCGTTCTGCAGTTGGGACTCATTTAGAGCTACACACACACACACACACTGTTGAACACTAATGTAATTTGGACTGGAGTGAGCGTTGGAGTTCCTGTCATCTCTCCCACACACAGCCCTTAGAAACATTTTCCATTTTATTGATCTGTTTGCTTTCCGCTTACAGACACATGCACACACACATTGTTACTATGACAATCTTTGAAATTTGCTAACATTTGGATTTAATTTTGAGATAAAGCTGTCATTAAGATGCATTTTGATTAATACATTAATTCTAGATGCAATTTTATTTGCTTACATGTAACATTTGTAAATCACTTTTTAAAATTATTTTTTTTGCACTGAATCTTGATTATCTCTTTTGTTTATTATATTTATTTTTGTTTGTTTATTTTATTTCATTGGGCTGTATTTCATCCAGCCAAAGTCATTGTCATTATTTTATTTTATTTTATTTTATTTTATAAGGCTGTATTGCATCCAGCCAAAGTCATTGTAAAAACATGAAACCATGCAACACATTTAATTTAATTTAATTTAATTTAATTTAATTTAATTTAATTTAATTTAATTTAATTTAATTTAATTTAATTTAATTTAATTTAATTTTATTTTATTTTATTTTATTTTATTTACAGCACTGACTATCTCTAGTTTGTCATCATCATATTTGACGCATCTAAGCTGACTTAAGAAAGGGTTTTAACATTAAAAAGCCACAGGCTTTAGTTGCAATAATTAAACCCGTGTTTTTAGCTAACTCATGTGATTATGATTTTTAAAAGGCTGCATGCGTTTTGAAGGTGAAATGCACATGTATAATCACATGTATGCAGTTCAGCCTAGAGCAGTGGTTTATGGGCAGGGAAAAATGCAATGTTCCTATAATGTTAGAATTGACAGTAGAACCACCTCCCATGTCTAGTTCAAATCCCACTTGTAACTGCAAGTGGAGTTGTTGGGTTTACAGTAATACCACAGCCCAAATGGGAGTGAGGTTACACTGGCGGGTGTGAGATCCTGAGGGGTTAATGTAGCAAAGACCAGCTAACAAGACCTGTGCATGTACATTTAATATCCCTGGCCTGAGAATGTTAATTAGTGATTGATGGTCATATTAGACACAAAGATTTAGGCCGTGTCCACACGTACAATACTTTTTTTTATAAACAGAGTTTTATTTTATTTTATTTCATTTTGATGCCATGACCAAGATGGTAGTAAGGTTTAGTAGAGTTACATTGGTGCCATGACCCAGATGGAAGTGAGTTTAGTGGGGTTACATTATTGCCATGACCCAGATAGAAGTGAGGTTACATTGGTGCCATTACCCAGATGGAAGTGAGGTTTAGTGGTGTTAACTTGGTGCCATGACCCGGATGGATGTGAGGTTTAGGGGGTTACATTGGTGCCGTGACCAAGATGGGAGTGAGGTTTAGTGGGGTTATGTTGGTGCCGTGACCCAGATGGAATTGAGGTCTAGTGAGGTTACATTGATGCCCTGACCCGGATGAAAATAAGATTTAGAGGGTGAGTGTAACAAAGGGCAGTTGGTAGGAACTCCAACAAACTTTATTTATCTTACTACAACAGGAACACTACTAACTAAATATATGATAAGATTGAGATTTAGGGGAGTGAGTGCATCATGAACTAATTAGTAAACACTGTTTGGGTAATCTTAATCTTTAAAGTGGTCACATCATTTATTGCCAGTCAGTTGGGGATTCACATTCTCATAGGAGCAGTGTAAGTGGAGCAGAAGGCATAACATGTTGAGGCTGTAAAAACGAAAAACAAATGAGTACCATCAGCACATGCTTGTCTCCTATGTTGGGGATTTTCCATTGACTATTGTTTTGATGAAGAGCTAATTACATTTTCTGACTCCTATAAATCCCTAAAAATTTTTTTTTTTCATTTTTGTGATTTTCATTAAGGCATAATTGTATAACGTAAAGATATTCCTTGTGTATGAAAAATGTTAGGTTTCATTATCCTCATAGGAACATAGAATCTATTTATTTTAACCAAACCTTGGTCCAGACAAACATCCAATGGTAGACTTTTTTAGACTAGTACATGTCATTCTTCAGAAACAGGCAATTGATTTCCCCCTTTTTTGAATCTTTACCAGTTCTGCTGTGTCTTGTCAAATATGCATCTTTCCATTCATCATCTGTTTGTTGAAAGTTTGTTCATTCATATTTATTTGCTCTCACAACAATTGAAAATAGCTAACATTTGGGTTATAATTTGACCAGCAGCTGAAGTGATGTAATAAGCTATTCCAGCTGTGTTTTTTCCCTCCCTCATTCTCCCATTTGACAATAAATCAGACGCATGTAACCACTTTTCATTAGTTATTTGGATCACCGAAATTCACATCATCATCTTCGTGATCATTCTGTTTTTGTAGATGACCACTGCATTTGCATCTGTCAAACAATAGTCAATAACATCTTGGAGATGTTGCTCTGATTTCTTTGCATGTTTGATTTTTTTTTCTTTTTTTAACGTTTGAAAGGTCTGTAGTTTTGATTTGTCCCCATCTTTCTATTGTTTTAAACGTTTGGCTCTCTAGTTTCCTACCTAATTAGTTAGCTCTAAGGGTTTAGCAGGTGGAAAATGCAGCTGGGAAGTGTCATCCTCAAGAACAAACTTGTTCCAGGCGTGGGTTTTGCGTATCCCCTGACAGTCCCAATCAGCAGAACTCCCACACTGTGTTGAGAAATTTTATTTTTACATGTATAGAATGGGGGCAGCATGGTTGGTACCATTGTCTCCTCACAGCAAGAAGGTCGCTAGTTCGAGCCCTGGCTGTGTCAGTTTGCATGTTCTCCCCGTGTTGGCATGGGTTTACTCTGGGTGCTCCGGTTTCCCCCACTGTCCAAAGGCGCTAGAGGTGAATTGGGTAGGCTAAACTGTCGGTAGTGTGTGTGTGTGAGAGAATGAGGGTGTGTGAGTGTTTCCCAGGGATGGGTTGTGGCTGGAAGAGCATCCTTTGCCTAAAACGTATGTTGTATAAGTTGGTGGTTCATTCCGCTGTGAAAAGATAGATAGATAGATGGATAGATAGATGGATGGATGGATGGATGGATGGATGGATGGATGGATGGATGGATGGATGGGTGGATGGATGCACGAATGGATAGATAGATAGATAGATAGATAGATAGATAGATAGATAGATAGATAGATAGATAGATAGATAGGTGGATGGGTGGATGGATGCACGAATGGATAGATAGATAGATAGATAGATGGATGGATGGATGGATGGATGGGTGGATGGATGGATGGATGGGTGGATGGATGGGTGGGTGGATGGATGCATGAATGGATAGACAAATGGATAGATGCATAGATAGACAGACGGACAGATGGACGGATGGACAGACAGACAGACAGACAGACAATTAGTCAGTCTGTTAGTTGGATGGATGGATGGATGGATGGGCGATTGGATAGACAGATGGATAGATGCATAGATAGACGGACGGATGGACGGACGGACGGACGGACGGACGGACGGACGGACGGACGGACAGACAGACAGACAGACAGACAGACAGACAGACAGAC